TTTTTTTCAGCATATTTCAAAAATTACATGATGATTTCATTCATGGTTCACATTAGGACTTAGAGGCAGAAGCAGGTGGATCTCTGAGTTCGAGGCCGGCCTGGTCTAAAGATCAAGTTCCAGGACAGCAAAGGCTACACAGAGAAACCTTGTCATAAATAAATAAATAAATAAATAAATAAATAAATAAATAAATAAATACTTTTTAAAAAAAAAGACTGGGTTTTATGATTTTTTTTTTTTTTAAATGCTGGGAGGTCCCTGGTGGCTGTAGGCAGGCAGCGGGCTCTGGGAGCAGCCAGTCCCAGGCAGAGATGGCTGCAGGTCCCTGCAAGATCCCCGGTGGGCCATGTGGCAGCAGGCAGTGGGCTCTGGGAGCAGCCAGTCCCAGAGAGAGACTGCTGCTGGTTCCCAACCGGTGGCTGGTCCTGGGCAGGGAGACACATGGCAGGCGGGCAGGAGACAGAGACATGGATAGACACAACATGTAGAGTGAGGTTGAATATTTATTCAGGGGGTTATGGAGGGGGAAAGAAGAAGGGGACAGAGAGAGAGAGAGAGAAGAGGAGAAAGAGACAGAGAAGGGGGGAAGCAGAAGAGGGAAGCACACGCATGCCAGGAGGAAGATGGGGGGGTGGCCAGGAGTGGGTGTGGCTTGCCTCTTAAAGAGCCGAAAACCATAACACTTGGTGTCCATTTCCATCTGTGTTTATGTTTGTAATATAATAAACACTGGCCTTTCTACTGTTAGAAGTGTTTGTTTTAGTCTATAAAAAAAGTTTGCCAGGTACTAGAGAGTTAGCAGCTATTGCATGCTTTCTTGGTAAATAAGGATGTTTATATCCTATCTTCAGATTCACAGTCTGGTATTTTTTAACTATATTAACATAATGTAAGTCCTATGGTTAGTTTAGGGTTAATTGTGAGTAGGATGAGGGCTCAGAGATTAAGAGCACTGACGGGTCTTCCATAAATTCTGAGCTCAATTCCCAGCAACCACATGGTGGCTCAAAAACCATCTGTAATAGGATCTGGTGCCCTCTTCTGGCATGCAGGCAATGAGGCAGAACACTGCATACATCATACATACATACATACATACATACATACATACATACATACATCTTAAAAGAGAATAGTTTGCCTACCAAGGACTAAGATTCCACAGATCTCCCCTACCTGGTAAAACCTTTGTTTATGCAAAGCACTCCCCCACCCCACCCACGACACTTTCCTTCCTTGTCTTTGCCATGGAGTCTTTCAAAACTAACCAATAGCAAAAGTCTGTGAGCTCAGACTCCAGCCAATGGGGAAGAGGCAGAGCCATCACCAGCTGCGTGCGAAGCTCCTGCCCCCACATGCTTGCTAGCCTGGTGTGGGTCTTGGCACACCCTTTGTGCCAAAAAGAATCACCCTGGCAAGCTACTTTCGCTTCATTTGTGTGTCCCCTTATGCGACACCTAGACAATTTTCTGTTTGTTTCCACACTGCTGGATTTCAAAATCGATCTCTGTGTGTGTGTGTGTGTGTCCTCAAAATGAAGGCCTCACCTTTGCAGTCCCTCACAGATTCACACACACCCAGAGTCAGCCATGTGCACACGATTTCTTCGTACACTCCTGTGTTTTTCACTTGTGATTGGAGGGTTTCAAAGGCCTCCAGCGGAGTGCTGAAGGGCCGCAGTGTTGCTCAGCCAGGAAATGCGATTTACTGAAGGAAACACGGCTCAGATAAGCCCCTGGCGTGCATCAGCTACTTCACTGTTGGCCGCAAGTTCGGTGTTAATGAATCAACAGCAGATAATACAGAGGGTGGCTTTAAATAGAACCACCAGTACGAAACAGGGTGATATTGACCACAGGATGAAAAAGCTGTGATTACAGGCTGCCAGAAGCCAGCCCCGTGTTCTCCTGGGAGGAACAGGTCAATATTTGCCAACTTTATAGAATACACATGACTACCAAAAATAGAATCAACTACTACACAGTCGATATGAGTATGTGTGCTGTGATACATGTGTATAATACATTAACAGACACATACTGGAATATCATGGGTGAGGCTTTATGTGATGTTTTGGGTTCTTGATTTCTTATTTTTTTTTAATTTTAGATTTACTTCTTTTATGCATATGAGTGTTTTGCCTACATGTATGTCTGTGTACCATGTGTGTGACTGGGGCCAGAAAAGGGCATCAGGCCCCCTGAAACCGAAGTTACAGATGGCTGTGAGCCACCATGTAAGTTCTGCAAATTGAACCCACATTCTCTAAAAGAGCAGCCGATGCTCTTAAACGTCAACCACCTCTTCAGCCCCTCTTGGTTTTGTTGGGTTTCTGGCTGTTTGGTTAGTTGCTTGTTTGATTGGTTGGTTTGGCTTTTCAAGACAGGGTTTCTCAGTGTAGCCCTGGCTGTCCTGAAACTCACTCTCTAAACCAGGCTAACCTTAAACTCAGAAATCTGCCTGCCTCTGCCTCCCAAAGGAATGTTGTGATCTAAGGCTAGCGCCGCTACTGCTGGCTTCTTCTTGCTCTTTGCCTGGCCTTGAACTCACAGCCTCAAGGGTTGCTAGCCCCTCTGCTTTCCCAGTAACTGTGGCCATAAGTATACTCCACCATGCCTGGCTAGGGGTTATTTTCAAATCCTCCACCAAGGAAATCAAAGTTGGGATGTGAAGCGTATGAAATAAATAAGCTATAAAAGGTTGGAAGTTTGAGAAATAAGTTTTACTTTGTTTTGGTCTATTTTTAATGGACCCCAAGGCCTCTGAATGCTGGGCAAATGCTCTACCACTAAGTCACACCCCAGCCTGAGGAGAAGAAAATTAAAGACGCGGTCTCACTAAAGTCCTGGCTGACCTTGAACTTGCTAAGTAGCCCAGGCTGGCCTTGAATTCTTAGAGATTTGACTACTACTCCTTCTGGCTAGGATCAAAGGCGTGGGTCAAGGTCAAAAACACTGATGACAATTTAAGCTGGAGAGGTTGTGGGGGAAAGGGAATACTCCTGCATTGATGGTGGGAATGCAAGCTGGTACAGCCCCTTTGGATATCAGTGTGGTGATTTCTCAGAAAATTAGGAAATAAACTTTCTCAAGATCCAGTAATACCACTTTTGGGCAGACATCCAAAGGATACTCAATCGTGTCACAAGGACATGTGCTCAGCTATGTTCATAGCAGCTTTGTTTGTCATAGCCAGAACCTGGAAACAACCTAAATGCCCCTCTACCGAAGACTGGATAAGGAAAATGTGGTACATTTACACAGTGAAGTACTACACAACAGAAAAAAATAACGACCTCTTGAATTTTACAGGCCATATGGATGGAGCTAGAAAACATCATATTGAGTGACGTAACCCAGACCCAGAAAGACAATTATCACATGTACTCACTCATAAGTGGTTTTTAAACATAAAGTAAAAAAAAAATCAGCCCACAAATCACAATCCTAGAGAACCCAGACAACAATGAGGACACTAAGAGAGTTGTACATAGATTTAATCTACATGGGTAGTAGAAAAAGACAAGATCTCCTGAGTAAATTGGAAGCACGGGGACCCTGGGAGAGGGTTGAAGGGGAGGGGAGAGGCAAAGAGGAGAGCAGAGAAAAATGTAGAGCTCAACAAAAATCAATAATAATAATAAGCATGCACCACACACCTGGCAGAGATTATATTTTTACCGCTTTTACTCTTTGTTCTTGCTTTTTTAAATATCTTTTATGTATTCTTTGACAATTTCATATGTGTATACAGTATACCTTGATTAAGGCCACCCCCAACACCCCCCACACACACACTCCCACACATCCCTGCGTACCCCCTGCTCGTTATCATTTTTGGTAAACATCCGATCCAATTAGTACCACCTGCTAGAATGCTAACTGATCCTGTGGGCCTGATCATGTCCAAGTCATGTGTAAGTCATGAATGCCATGAGCTCTGTCAGGTCCAGAAGACAGCATTTCACAGTCCTCTTCCCCATCGTCTGCTCTCACCTTCTTCCCACCCCCACCCCCCTTTTCCCAATGTTTCTTCAGCCTTCGGCAGGCAGGAGTATATAT